ATACAAAGAGACCTTGTGAAATTGTAAAGTCTTTGTTTTAGTTTTGAAATGAACTAGGTATGGAACTATGTATACCAAAGGTATTTTTCCCTCTAGTAAAAACTGTTTAAGTCATTTATTGACATGAAATCTCTTGAGTGAAAAATCTGAAGTTTGATTCTGATAGTTTGAATTAAACTCAGGCAGTAAAAATTATCCAGCAGGATCATTGGAATACAACTAATTTTGTTTCAAAGATAAGATATTATCTGGCACTGAGGAGAAAAAAAATCCAAAATGATAAAACTCTCTAATTGAGAAAATCACTATCTATCTATCTATCTATCTATCTATCTATCTATCTATCTATCTATCTATGTATGTATATATATGTAGATAAGCCATCCTGCCACCTGTTGACAGCTCAGGAGTAGCTCAGCTCAGGCCAGGAATTGAACCAGCAACCCTGTTGCTCAGAGCTCGCACTCTTGAGCGAGCTCTTAGCCAACTGAGCCACTCAGCTGGCCACACAAAATATTTTTAAAAGACATTAAAGAAGGCATAAGTAAATTTAAATAAATAAATGGAAGACAATATTATAAAGATGTCAATTAATTGTGCATTGGTCATAACTTGAAAGGAATTCCAATGAAAATTATAACTTTTTGTGTTTGAACTTTACAAGTTGGCACTAAAATTTATATGAAAGGGTAAAGGGCAAACATGGCACAGATATTCCGGAAGAAGAAAACTAAGGTGAAGAAATTGCCTTTCTTTATATAAAGAATTATTATGAAAATACAACAAATGAGCAAGATTCTGTTATTTCAAGGAGGGGCGAACAAAACAAAAGTGTGAGCCCAGAAGCAAACCAACACATACAGAACTTAATTTATGACATAAATGGTTTTGTAGATGTGTGAGAGGAGATGGTGTACCTTTCAATAGATGTTGCTAGGACAAATTATTAGTCATGGGGGAAAACAAAAACAAAAAGTGGACCTTACCTAACCACCATATATATTATTAAATTCAGGTAGTTTAAGATATAAAATAAAAAGCAAAATTATAATACTCTATAGGACAATATCATTACGACCTTCTGGAAGGTAGGGATTTGTTAAACAAAACAGAAAAAAATGCAAACCTCAGAGGAAAAGATTAATAAAATGCATTAATCTGACACTATCAAAACTTCTGACTTCTGACCATCAAAAATCAATGTAAAGGAAGTTAAAGAATTACACATTGGAAGAAGGTATTTTTCAATACATATAAGAGGCAAAGGATTAATCAATATCCAAAATATAAAAATAATTCCTACAATCTACAAGGAAGAATAAATAAAGCAATAGAAAAATGAGGACAAGTCTTAATAAACACTTCACAGAAAGGAAATCTGAACAACTAATAAAAGGTGCCCAATACCATTAGTAATCACAGGATTGAAAACTAAAACCACAATGAGAGATCATTTATAACTCACTACAGTGGAAAAAACAGTTTTTTAATATGATGTGTTGGTGAAGGGGAGGGTTAACTAGAGCACTTACATAGTGCTTCTGGTGAGTACAAATTGGTATAACCCTTTTGAAAACAATTTGGCATTATCTCTATAGTCTTATGTTTTTGGTTTTGCACTTTTTTCATCAATTAAGGAAAAATAATCTAATATTTATTTTCTCTTTCTTCATAAACTGAATTCTATTTCAGGGTAACCAAATAAGTGATGAGGAAAAGTTATTCTCTATGGAACAATCTAGCTAAAAAATAGAGAATGACTAATAGGATTAGAAAATCACCATTATGCAACTCTTATTAAAAATATTTAGGTAGTCTCCATTATTGTATGCTAAAACAATTGGGTAAAAGTTGATGGAGAACTTTATAATGGAGCGATCAGACTCACACCACCTGACCCACTGATGAAACTTACAGAGCTTCACATATTAAAAATGTTTACCCCCCAAAAAATTGGCACTAATTTCATCAAGCCAGTTGACAGGGTAAAGGAGGATAGAGGTGGGTGCAACAAACAACAGCATGGGAGTGATCAGTCACATTTAGAATGCTAAACATTTCTTAGGACAAATGACCTGGTTTCTCCAACAAATTAACAGCATAAAATATAAAAAGAAGGGGAGACCATTGTAAATTAAAAGAGTTGCAAAAGATAGAATAATAAAACAATATTGTTTGGATTTTGATTTGGTTAGCCAACTGTGAAAAGATAGGTTTAAGCAATCAATGAAATATGAATAAGGACTAACTAGGTACTCAAATTCAATGATATTAAATATGATCAAGTCATGATGTTTTCTTTTAAAATGTTATTAGATAAAGGTTCATGCTGAAGTGTTAACAGGTGAAATGACATAGCTTGTATATGCTTTAATATAAACAAAACTATTAAGGTAATAGAATTTAGTAGTTTTAGTAAATTATTAGTTTATAAGGGTGGTGATGAAGAGGAAGAGGTCTAGGTTAACATCTGGATTTTGCCTTGGGTTGCACAGGTGGTGCCATTTGCAAAGACAGGGGATACAGAAAGCACAGCAGGCTTCAGAAATTAAAATAAGTTTAATTTTGAAAATTAAGTTGTAGGTGCTAATGGGATACCGAGAGGCTCTCTGAAGTGAGCAGTAGGTTAATTGAGTCTGAAATAAAGAAGAGATATCTGCACTGGGGTTATAGTTGTGAAGACAACTCCACTTCAGAGAAATGATCAAATCACCCAGGGGAATGTGTATGGTAAGAAAAGAGGTTCAAGATGAACTCTGGTGGACATCAACATGTATGAAATAAACAAGGGAAGAGTTCAATCCCTCAAACAAGGGATTCTGAGAATAAAAGGTTAGAGTATTGGAATCATTTCAAGGAGAAAGGATTAATTAATGTAGAGAAATTATAAGTAAGATGAGAACTGAAAATAATCCATAGGATTTTGAAGTCAGCAGTCACTGGTGATTTTAGCAGAGTTGTTTCATTTGAATAATGGTGGCAGAGAATCAATTACCATAGGTTAGTGACTACATGAGAAGTGAGAATTGGGGATGCTTGTTATTTTGAGGAGTTTAGCTGGAAAGTGAAAGAGGTAGGGTAGTGGTTGGAGTATCCAGAGGATTTCCTTTCTTTAATATAGAAATTGCTTCAGCATGTTTAGAGGCAAGATAAAGGGGCCAGTCGAGAGGGTCAGTTTGAGAATTTATAAGAAAAGAGAAAACAATAGGTGAAGTATAGCTTCAGTGGAAAGAGGGATAGAAAACATCAAAATCAAGTGGAATAAATTAGCTCTAAAAAACACAACAGTTCTTTTTGTCTCTGAATCTGGAAAAATGTGAGAGTAGATGCATGTATAAAGGAATATTTTGCTTAGTAAGAATGAACTTCTTTTTTTTAAAGAAAAAAAACCCTGTTTCTAAAAATAGAGTGCAGCCACCTGGGATGAAACCCATTTTGTTTCAGAAATGTCACCAGAAAAGGCTGACTCACTTTTTGGGCATATATTCCCTCATGGTTCTTGGGGAAGCCTACCTACGCTTTGCTGTGTTGGAGGCATGTGTACAAGTTTGCAGCAAATTGACCCTCTGAGAGGTGGGCAGATGGAAAGATGGCATGGTGGTGTGCCAAGACTCAAGGGCAGGCAGACATGCTCTGAATGTAGAAGGCAGTCTCAGGGGCCAATAGCTGCTAGAATCAAGTTATGACTAGAAATGATCAGGAGTGCTCTTTGAAGGGGGCATTGGTTTACAAGGAAGTCAATTTTGGTTGACAGAGAGACAGACAGATCAGGTGGGAATTTCTGTTTAGACCCAATGTTCTCTGTGAAATTTAAGGCAAATTGTATATAGAGAGGAGTCAGGGTCAGCAGTTGAGAACAATAGTTTTAAGAGAGTGGTGAAGCTTTAGCATATTTTTGGGGAGGATGGTGAAATTAAGAGTTGAGAAAGAGCACATCAATGGGTGGCTGAGGGCCACTCCAGCTGTTTGGAGACCATAAATTATTAGTAGCAGCCATCCCCGCCTTCGTAAAATGTCCTTAAATCTCCTTCAGCAGTGCTCAGAGGTCCAACTACAGATTCAGACAAGAGATGTCAGGATCTATCTACTTTTGGGGGTTAGCAGGACAGATATAATCAAAGCACAAAAAGGCATGGTCTGTGGGGATTATGGCAAGAGAAGTTAAATGAAATGCCAGCGTCTAGGTTAGATAGGAAAAGGGGTACATCCCTGAAAGTGGTGATGAGTTAGAGGGTCTTTAGATAATAAGGATGGATAGACAGATGGCAGGGATGTCAGAGGGATAAAGCTTTGTTACAAGTGTCAAGTAATGAGTTATATACAGCAGTGGAGAATTAAAGCAGAAGCTGCTACTACGTATGTGTTCTATAGCAAGTGAAATACAGTACACTTCCATAAGAAGTTTATCTTGAGAGCTCTTCAGAAGGAGGCAGCAGAAGAATGGAATCTGTGAATAGACTGACAGTGTAGATTAGTTTCTATGTGATGGGATCAGGGCTCCAGAGGAAAGGCTAGGGGGTCAATAGTAAAAAGAATGATGGGTGGAAGGATTCCCAGAATAGTCTAGTGAGGAGGTAAATGAAGGCAAGCTAGTCAGAGGCCTGCATTTTGGTTGGTGGCCAAAGAAAAGTGAGAGGAAAATGCGGTAGATAGACTGCTCTTGTGGCATCTAGACAGACCGAGTCCCAAGGGGCACAAGGGTCTTATGAGGTTAGCAATTTTTAGCCTCTACTTATCATTTAAAAGGAATGTCATTGGGAATTTACTAATCTCATCTCTGAAGAGATCCCTTCCTCAGGCTGTTAATGGAAAAAATGCATCCATGTTCAGTCCTTATTTTAAAAATTATTTATTTTTTATTCAAACCACTCTGACCACATTCCTACTATATATACATTAGCATTCTAGGCACAGTGTAGAACATAAAATAAAAATCCTTTATCCCTGTCTCTGAGGACCTTGTTCTCTTATCAAAGGTGTGAGAAATGTGCACAGTTTACCTCAAATCTGTGCATTTTGGAAGAAGTCTTCTTTTTCCATTAAAGTAAACTTCAAAATCTTCAGTCTTTAGCCTGTGGGCATAGTCAATGTATCCTGACACCTCCTGCCCATGAGAATTTCTGTCACGAATAAAGATCACGGACTGGTGGCACAAAAAAATAGAGAATGAAGACAGTAAATGAATAAAAGTCATTTGAGTCAATTGTATATAATAAAAGCTACAACTATTGAGTGTTACGTATGCCAGATCCTATCCTAAGTTTTTATGTTTCACCCTTACAATGAGTCTATGAGGTATGGACTATTATTTTCTCCTGATGAAGAGATTTATGAAAAGTTAACTAAGCATGAAAACAATGGACATTTACAGTAGCTTTATATAACAATATGAATAATAACTCTTAGAGGTCAGACATTGTTTTAAGTGTTTGTAATATATAATTTATTTACTTTTCCCCCAATCCTATTGTCTTTTATGAAAATGATTTGTCATCATTTTCAGATTAAAAAACAAACAAACACAAAAACAGAGAAAAAAACCTAAGGAACAGAGAGATTGAGTACCTCATTCAAGGTCTTATAGCTAGTAAGTGGATACACTCAGATTAAAACCCAGGCTCATGTGTTTGTCCTTCTAACCCCTACATTCTTTTTTTTTTCATTTGAACGCCTGTGTATTTTCTGCTATAGAAATATAAATTGGGTACCTTCTTCTCAGTACCATAAGAGAAAAAAAAAGCCTCTATGAAACTGAAATCTTTTTACAAATTAAAATTGCTTTACAAAATTAATTCCATAGGTGAAAATTATATAGCAAGTACCTAGTTCTCATTGATAGTAATTCCTTCACAAATGTCATTGAGCACATGCTACATGTCAGGCATTGCTGTAGGTGCCAAGTGATAAACAAGACAGTAGAGGTTCTAACTTCTCAGAACTTATGTTCTGGCGATGGAAGACAGACAATAGATATGAAACAAAAACAAATACTTCCAGTGAGTGGTAAATATCATAAAGCAAATAAGGAAGATGGTTGTTTAGAGGGTTGTTGATGGTGAAGGCTACTTTTGGGAATTAGAAAAAGAACTTGAGAAGGTCACACTTAAGCCAAGACTTGAAGGATGAGAAGAGGTAAGCCATGTGAAGATCTAGACTAGGAGCCTATCAGGCAAAGGGAACAGCTGGTATGAAGGCCCCAAAGTGGACAGAAGGTAACACAATGGATGAATTATAGTCTTTTCCCTATCAAGCTAATAGACATCAACCTCAAGTTCTAGGAGGGAAAAAGAAAAAGAAAAAAAAACAAAAACAAAAACCTATTGTAATTGGAAAAGCTCTTAATTTATTTATTTCCAAATCTAGATCAAAGTGTAGAATTTCCTGGCAAAGTTATCTATTTTACAAGAAGAGCCTGTAAACAACCTTACTTTTCCCCTTAGCAACCACTGGATGTTACTTATTGGAACTTTGTGTAGCCAACACAGGAAGCACTGATATGGGTTACCTTAAATAATAGAGTTTCCAAAAAGGTGAAGTTAGAAAATTTAAGGAATTCTTTTCCCTGCAGACCTGAGAAAACACATTACTAACAATACCCCAATGGAAAAATGGAAGAATAGACACACTATTTACAATTAGCTGTTATTCTGCTGATAAGCATCATCTTCCTGCTTTCTCTGGTTGTTTGGCATTGGGTGATGAGAATGCTGCACTGAGAAAGACTCTGAGACATGTTTTTGGCTCAAGGAAATGTTATGATGGATTAGCAATATTTCCCAAAGACATGGCTGGAGGAACGAGTATTCATTGTTATTCCTGTACTCAATCTTATATAGAGTCAATCCTTAGTCCTCCTCACTTCCCCCACATAGCTCCAAGTTAAATTTATATAAATTGCTCCATAATTTTAGCCTTGTTTTCTTTTTAGCTTTTATAGCACAAATTCTAAATAGATAGTAATTCAAGAGACTTCTTGAGACTCTTACACTTCTAACAAAGAGCTAGCTGGCATTGCTGTCCCTTCCCTGCTCAAACAAGACCATGAGCTATAACTACAACTATCAGTATTTCATATATTGTCCTAAAGGTGCTGGAAATCTTTATTCCATCAAGGCTGCTCCTGATGTTAGGGAAGTCATGCAAGGATAGAGAGAGGGAAAAAATGTTCCAAAATAAGTCCTCTACTTTTAAAATGGAACTCAATTAACAGAAAAAAAATAAAAATCTCCTCTCTCTCCTTCTCTCCCTATCTCTCTCTCTCTCTCTCTCTCTCTCTCTCCCTCCCTCCCTCCCTCCTTCTTTCTCTCCCTCCCTTTAAATGAGAGATGAGCCAGCCTTATTTTTCCAGCAGAATAGCATATCAGATATTGTGACTGACCTTCCTGCTAAAAACAAAAAGTCTGGATATAATCTAAAAAACAACTTGTAACATGCATTTATGCTTTGGCAAGAAAATGAGGAATACTCAGAGTCCAAAAACTAAGGGAAAGCAGAAACCCAGAAAGGAAAGCAGAGTCCTAAAGTCATCTTTGTCCTGTAGGCATTTTCCCAACCCAAGGAGTGGGGGTGGCAGGAAACAAAACCCAGCCTTCAGGTGGAGAGACTAACAGGACTTATTGCCTCTACATAAAGCTGAGAAATCAAAAACGATGAAAAAATAGCTTTGATGTGTCCAGAGAAAAGAAGAATCATTCCATAGTTATACAGCCATATCTTTCTAGTGAGCAAAATATTGAAATTTTTAGACCAAAAATAGGAGAGACTTGGCTAACAACAAACTCTTAAAGAAATTTTGCATGATGCACTTCAGGCAAAAGAAAGTGACTCCAGCTGCAAAGCCTGAGATAAAGAATAGAATGATAATCAAAGAAATTAGTAAATAAAATATTGGACTGATGAAATAATAACAATTTCTTCTGTAATAGAAAAGAACAGTATGTCTAAAGTTTTCTCAATAAACATGTGTTTGGAGAGAATGATCAGAGTTAAAGTGTTAGAATGTCGTTTTAGAATGAGGGCAGCTATCAATATATAAGTATTATATAATTTCAGAATTCATGTAAATTGTATAAATCTAGGATTACCATCAACAAATACAAAATAGTGTATGTGAAATTTAAAATATTAGAAGAAAAACATAAAATGTAAAACAGTGATCAGTCAGTAAAACAAAAGGCAAAAAAAAAAAGGAAAAACTATGGAAGAGCAGGACAAATAAATTACACTGAAATGTAATGATATTGTTATGAGCTGAATTGTATTCTCTCAGAATCCACATGTTGAAACCCTGACTCCCACTACTTCAGAGAATATACTTAGACTGAGGGCCTTTAAACAGGTAATTAAGTTAAAATGAGTCAATTAGGGTAGTCCCTAATCCAATATGACTTCTTAAAAACAGGAAATTTGAACACACACACAGAGACATTAGGGGGTTATGTACACAGGGGAAAGAAGACATGAGGACACAGGGCGAAGGGGCCATCTGCAAGCGTAGGAGAAAGGCCTCAGAAGAAACCAAATCTGCTGACACCTTGATTTATCTTAGGCTTGAGAACTGTGAGAAACTAAATTTCTGTGATTTAAGCCACCCAGTCTGTGGTATTTTGTTATGGCAGCCCTAGCAAATTAATGCAGATAGTATTGGGTTGTCAGAAAAGTCATGACATATTTTTTCTTTTTTCATTGCAAAAATGTGTCATGACTTTTCCGACAACCCAATAATAAATTAAAATAATTAAGTACAGTAATACCTGGGTTTGTGAGCATAATTCGTTCCAGAAACAAACTACTCGTATTGCAAGATATTGCTTGCTTACCACGTTAAAATGTATTAGAAATGTTTGCTCATCTTGAGGATTACTTGCAAACCAAGTTACTCGCAATCCAAGATTTTACTGTAATTACAATAGATGTAAATGGCCAAATGTTTAACTTAAAAGGCGATGGTAAAAAAAACCCAAAAAATGGAAAAGACAATGGTTATTACAATGGATACAAATATATATATACATATATATATATATATATGTATGTATATATATTTTTATATGTTTATATCATATTTTACATAGAAATTTCATAAATATATCATAAGGTTGTAAGTTAAATGATCAAAGAATGTATATATATATATAAAGTTTCTATGTAAAAAAGAGCTGTACAGGATATTAATATTAGTTGAAATGGATTTTAAGGCAAAGCATTACTAGAGATGAAGAGTAACTAGATATTGATAAAAGATTCAATTCAGAGAAAGATATAACAATCCCAAACTTTAACGAACCTTTGAAAACACAGCCTCAAAATACATAAAGCAAAAATTGATAGAACTATAAAGATAGACAAGTCATCATTACTGTCATAAATTTATCTTCTTATTAAATTCTAGATCAAATAGAATAAACACATAAATGCTATCAAATTAACATAGATTTAAAGACTTAAAAACACAAAGTTGAACACTCAGTCTTTACCTTATTTAAGTACCTAAACATGCTTACTCTTCAATGTTCATGTAGGTAAAAGGACTGATGGTCCAAAATTATGAATATTTGGTCATAATTTCTCTATTTTACATTATTACATATAATCTTCCCCGTGAGTTAAAGCCTCCTGGTTATGGAAATTTAAGTAAATTTATTTCAAATTTCACTTTTCCAGCCTTATGAGAGTTAAGTGTCTGCTCTGAGACGTTTGTGAATCCTGGGGTTTTCTGAAGCTAGAGAACTCCAAGTGAGGCCAAACTGGGTATAAGTGTGAGTCCTTCCATGTTCGTTGTATGTCCTTGGGTGGGCTGCTCAAACTCTCAATGCCTCTCTATATTCATAAGTCCTATGGCCTTAAGTAGGTTCCTGCAAAATCCAGGACATGCAGCTGGAGAGTGGGGCACCCACACTCACACCAGGCCTTTCCTATGAAGCCCATGTTCCTCACCACCACACAATGTACACATAGCCCTGGATCAATTGCTGGCCCTGCCACCTGCTTACTTTGTGACACTGATAAGTTAGTTACCCTTTTTAAAATTCAGTTTCCTTTATTATAAAATGGGCATAACAACTGCCTCTCAGGGTTGCTGTGTGAATTAAATAATACTACTTTGCTAAGCAAGGAGAGCACTCAGTAAATATTATCTATTAC